GACACGGAGGAGAGGCTCGTTGAGCCCACTCCCGACTTACCGGAGTCTTGTTTGGTGCCCGGTGGGGGTGGGAGGGGGTTCCGAGGTGGATCGAGCGGGCGTTACGCACCGACCCAAGTCCTCCACAGTGTCCCGTGGGTCGGACTACGTCCCGCTCGAGGTACGTGACCGACTCATTTATTGGGCTCATACGTCCCCTCCTCTGGACATCCGGGTATCGGCCGGACGGTGCACTGCCTTAGCACTAAGTACGTGGTGGCCACGTTACCAGGGATGTGAGGATTTATGTCTCCTCCTGTTCGGTGTGTGCCCAGTGTAAGGCGCCCAGACATTTGCCCAGGGGTAAGCTACAGCCCCTGCCCGTTCCACAACGACCCTGGTCCCACATCTCGGTAGACTTTGTTACCGACCTTCCCCCCCTCCCAGGGGAATACTACCATCCTGGTCGTTGTGGATCGGTTCTCTAAGGCCTGTCGTCTCCTTCCCCTGCCGGGTTTACCCACTGCCCTACAGACCGCTGAGGCTCTGTTTACCCATGTCTTCCGGCATTACGGGGTACCCGAGGATATAGTGTCTGATCGAGGCCCCCAGTTTACCTCCAGAGTGTGGAGAGCGTTCATGGAACGGTTGGGGGTTTCGGTAAGCCTTACCTCGGGTTACCATCCGGAGAGTAATGGGCAGGTGGAACGTGTAAACCAGGATGTGGGTAGGTTTCTGAGGTCATATTGTCAGGGCCGGCCGGAGGAGTGGGCGAGATACGTGCCGTGGGCCGAGATGGCACAGAACTCTCTCCGCCACTCCTCCACACAACTAACCCCTTTTCAGTGCGTATTAGGGTACCAGCCGGTTCTGGCACCTTGGCACGAGAGCCAGATCGAGGCCCCTGCGGTGGATGAGTGGATACGGCGCTCGGAGGAGACATGGAACGCTGACCACGTACACCTGCAGCGGGCCATCCGTCGGCAGAAAACGAGCGCCGATATCCACCGCAGTGAGGGGCCTGTGTACACACCGGGAGATCGAGTCTGGCTCTCGACCAGAAACCTGCCCCTCCGCCTGCCCTGCCGGAAGCTGGGTCGGCGGTTTGTGGGGCCATTTAAAGTCCTGAGGAGATTGAACGAGGTGTGTTACAGGTTAGAATTACCTATTGATTACAAGAGTATTAACCCCTCGTTCCATGTGTCTCTCCTCAGGCCGGTGGTAGCTGGTCCACTCCAGGAGTTTGAGATAGAGGAGACTCCTCCGCCCCCGTTGGACATCGAGGGGGCCCCGGCGTACACGGTGAGGTCCATCCTTGATTCCAGACGCCGGATGGGGGGTCTTCAATATCTCGTGGAGTGGGAGGGGTACGGCCCGGAGGAGCGGTGCTGGGTGCCACGGAGGGACATCTTAGACCCGTCCCTATTGACCGAGTTCCATCGGAGTCATCCTACGCGCCCTGCTCCGCGTCGTCCTGGTCGTCCCCGAGGCCGGAGTCGGCGCACGGCTGGAGCCGCGCGTCAGGGGGGGGGGTACTGTCACGGTTTCGGCCGAGGCTGCTCCTCCTCCTTGTTCGGGCAGGTTTCGGCGGTCGTCGTCTCCGGAGTACTAGCTGCCACCGTTCGATGTTTCGTGTTTGTTTGGTTTTGTCTGTTTGTACACCTGACCCTTGTTAGTGTTTGATTACGTGCCTATTTAGTTTCTGTGTTTGGGGTCAGGTGTTGTGAGTGATTATTTCCTGTCTGCTGTTTTGTTCATTTCTCGTTTTGGGATTTTGTGCTTGTGCGTGTGGTTTTCGTTTCCGCACTGTGTGCGCATATTTTCCCTCTTTTACGCACGGGTTTGTTTGTGCGTTATTTTGTTCCTTGCCCCTGTTGAGGCTGGACATTATTTTCCCTGTTTTGGGATTTACTATTTTGCAATACATATTTGACTGTTGACTAGTCTTCGTGTTCCTGCGTTTGATTCCTCCATCACATACACTCAGCCTTGTGACATTTTTATTTCACTACAGCAGTTTAACATCAATTCACTTAGTCAGTCTATGTATCTGAAGGGAAACAGATGTCACAATCTTTCAAATCATTATTGCAGGTATTTACAGAATAGTATGGTTTAATCAGAGTGATTTGAGGAGCCAATGACGTCCTCTAGGTATGTTCTGCTAACTTTCATTCCATAACAATGAGGTAAACTCTGAGATAAAGAGAGTAGTAGCAAGCAGGGGCTGTCTGGACTTGGATTTGGCATGCATTTGCAGTGTTGCCTTTGACTGTCAGAAATGTGCCCTGTAAAATGACTGAATCAACGCTCTTTAATTATAGTTGTACACAATATACGCTGAGTGGACAAAACATTAGGAACAGGTGAAAGCTATGATCCCTTATTGATGTCACCTGTTAAATCCACTTCAATCAGGGTAGATGAAGGGGAGGAGATAGGTTAAAAAAAAATATTTTTATGCCTTGAGACAATTGAGACATGGATTGTGTATGTGTGCCATTCAAAGGGTGAATGGGCAAGACAAAATATGTAAGTGCCTTTGAACGGGGTATGGTTGTAGGTGCCAGGCACACCAGTTTGTGTCAACAACTACAACGCTGCTGGGTTTTTCATGCTCAACAGTTTCCCGTGTGTATCAAGACTGGTCCACCACCCAAAGGACATCCTGCCAACTTGACACAACTGTGGGAAGTCAACATGGGCCAACATCCCTATGGAACGCTTTCAACACAGTCCATGCCCCGATGAATTGAGGCTGTTCTGTGGGCAAAAGGGAAGGTGTTCCTAATGTTTTGTACACTCAGTGTACAAGCTCAGTGTCTCTTAGCACCTCTACAAAAGCCAAAGAGCAAAGGCTGTAAGTATCTGGAATGCCTCAGATAGGTGTGACTCTGTAAGCTATTTGAGGTTTTATTCACTGGGCAATTCCAAGACACATTGCTATGTGGGTTATATTGTGCAATAGCTCTAAATTTTTGTAATAGTATTCTGAAGGTGGCAGACAACTTGAGTTTTTTACATAAACAAATAATTTTGAAGGCTTTGTTGCTAAATTCCTTGTTTCCTTAGGTGTGGGATCGTGTTTTCAAGGGGAGATTGTAGTGTGAAAGTCCTATTGAATGTGGGCTTTAGTTCATCCTAAATGTCCATGCTGTTGACTTCTCAAGAATACTCCCTTTCTAAGAGGACTCCCCAGACTCAAGTGATAGATTCCATCAGAGATGACAGAAAAGGACCTTCATAGTCCTGTACATGTACATATCAAAGCAGAGAATACATCCATAAGCAAGCAAAGGACGTTCAAACAATCAGAATATCTTTTTCCTGATGTATTTATTGTTCGGTTGACGTGACAAAATAACTGGTAGTATAAACAGCATTTGGGAGGTAAAACTATGGTAAAAATGTTTATAGACAAGCGTCACTAATAATAAAGTAAAAAATACAAAACAAAACAATATCCAAAGACATCCTCATGTCAGTGTGCAAACAAGTTTATACAATCAGAAACACGGGTCACGTTTCTTGATAAATTATTTAAATAGCATATATCTACACATTAAATAACCTCTTAACATAGAACAGAGAAACATAACAATCATGTATCTATTTCAAATGCACAGGACATACATAAAGCACAACATATTTCAGAAAATGTTTTTTTTGATAAATTAAAACATTAGGGGAATTTTCTGCTACAAAAACGTCTCGTTTGTACTACAGTGACACAAAAAAAGAAGCCAACCAATGTATACTCTGTTGCTAAAAAGGTACTCTCATGTTTTGTTGGTTTCAATAAAAAAGAAAATGAGGTAATATTTGTACATGAAGGTTTTCCTTTGTTTTTCCCATCAGAAATGTACACACATTCTCAAGCACACAAGTCAGACTGTGCAGAAGAACAATGGGATTTAAATGACACCTAATTTGTCTATTTTGGAGGGTTGGCGTGAGAGATACTACTACACCCTGCTATGAGAGGACTTTTTAGAGGGATGTATCCCTGTTTCAAGATTCCAGTTATTTAGAATGGGTTTCTATGACAATAAGACAGAGAGATGAATAAAGATGAGAGATATCCTAACTCTAGGATCATGTGTCAATACTCTCAACTGGTAGCAAACAAAATAAATAATAAATTATGTACAACCTTGGTAACAACAGTCCTCTCAAGGCAGGTTAGACTGGCCCATATGGTTTTTGTCCCTCTCCACTAATGTCTGAGCTAAGATGAACAATAATATACATCCTGGAATCCTGGCGAAATAGCAGTTGTGTTGTTGTTCGCTAGTAGTCTATATTGGCTTTGGGTGCTAGTCCTGCTTCTGTGCTCCTTCCATATATCATCTAGTGTTTTTTCCTGAGAATCCACTTGGCAAGCCTGGTCAAACCCTGAAGACATACTTCATACTGAGCTGAACTGCATGGGTCTACTAGAAGCCACTTAGTTACCAAATTTGAAATGGCTAATGCCTTGACTACAATTGGCTTAGGTGTCTTTATCACAAAGCTCTTCATGGGTAACATACACACAAATAAACATTCACTTTCTTTGATAGTAACAGCCAATCCATACTGTCCACGGTCCCTCAATAGTTCCTTCAAGGGGCATCTCTGGTCCATCTGGAGTAAATCTCCTACTGCTTTCATCATTTGGAAACAAATCAAGTCCTTTTGAGTCCACAGCAGATCTGAAGTAATGCTCGGAAATAAAGAAAATACTCTTCCCTTTGGATCTCCATCCAGAGAGGGATACCAACTAATTCAGAAGTGCAGAGAAATCTGATTTCTTCACTGAGCAAAGCTATGCTCAACCTGCTGTTAGTGCAGGGGTCTAGTCATCATAGGACAGGCAGTTGGCCTATGTCCAGACTGGCCTCAATGCCACACACGCTCCATTCCACCAATGTGCTTGTTGCAAAGTAAAGAGTAATATTGATATGGTCCCAGGTCATACGTTACATTTATATTTGAGCAGGTAAATACATTATTCTAAGAGCCTCTCTTTGGTTCGATTAAGAATCTGGAGGAAAAAGAGAAGAAAAAAATCAAAAAATCAGTTAAAATCCTGTACAAATCTGGACTCAAAAGGCGTGAGCAAATAAAACATTTTGTTTGCCAAAACATTCCTGAAAGCATCTTACCTCTGCATTCGTACTTGAGGTCTGAGAAGTATGTCATCTCCTGAGAGAAGACATACATGCCAAGTCTTCCACCAGCATAAGTCTTGTCGTAGATATTTCCGGAATCAGCCATGATTCTCTTGCCTTCATACATCACAACTCTGAAAGGAAGGAAGATGACATGAAATCATTAGCACATGAAAGCAGGAGTTTGTGTGGCTTCAGAAAAGGCAGAAGAGCTAAAGAGTTCAGAGCTAAAGCTAATATGAGCTCACCTGATGAGTCCAGACTTGGGCCTGTGGATCAGGTGCCATCTGTACGCGGTGTAGTCTTTCCAGCCGATGTTCTTGGGGTCGTGCCACAGAGTACGCAACTAAGAGGAGGAATAACAAAAAGACATGAGAAATGTTTCCTACCCAGTGGTTTTCTCTCAATGCTCTTATGTGCTTTAGGCTCATAATGTGGACTGAAGCTGACCGTACCTGTCCAGCAGTGTCACCGGTGTGCCAGAGGGCGTTCCTCAGATGCTCCCCAGGTCCTGTGGTGGAGTTGACCACTTTGATGGACACTCCGGAGTAACCCTGAGCTCTGGTCGGAGTGTGGGACCAGTAGGTCTGTGTGATCTGCTTCCACATCACCACGTAGAACCTAGAGCTGGACTGGTAGCCAAATACAAATCCAGCATAGTCATCGTCCCTGTCTGTGTTGATAAAGAACGTTCCACTGAAGTCCACTGCGTTGAACTCATCGAACCCTATAGACAACAAAGAAGTTGGTTAGGACTTTTCTCAATGGACCCATGATCTACGAATGGTCGTTTTGTAGTTGTTCTCCTTAGTTCCTAAGGTGTTATATATATGTTACAGTACATACCAACAGCGATGCCAGGGTCACAATTGACAGTCTGCACTAGCTCTTTGCCCTGGTGGCGGACCACCCAGTTGGGGTCGATCTGGGAGGTGCCCTTGGGGTCCAGTGGTACCATCTGGAACCTGCGGAAGTCCGTCTCGCTGATGGCAAAGTTCTCAGGGCACACATCGTAGATATCAAGTATGTTGTCTTGGTCAAAGTCGTCTTTGCAAATATCTCCACGACCATCACCTAAGAGGAGGAGACAGAGAAAACACTGCATTGAGACAACAAGCTGACGCTATAGTAATCTCTGTGACTCTGCATTTCTGTAGAGAGTACTTTGTCTTTCAAGATGAATCGTTCTATAGGTCAGTTGAATGGCGCCAATGTTTGATAGAGCTACTGGAGAGAGTGACTCACCATCAGAATCCAGCTGGTCAGGGTTAAAGGCCAGCCTACAGTTGTCCTTGTCGTCAGGGATACCATCATTGTCATCATCGTGGTCACAGGCGTCACCCTTGCCGTCTTTGTCGTGGTCGGCCTGGTTGGCGTTGGGGATATAGGGACAGTTGTCCAAGTTGTTTTGATGACCGTCCTCATCAATGTCCTGGTTGTTGTCGCACTTGTCTCCCACACGGTCTGAGTCAGAGTCAATCTGGAGGACAACACAATTAATTTAGTCTTCACAAAAACACATTCTTTCACACTTGTATAAGATAAATGTGGCTCTACATCAATGCACTCAGACATAATGAATGTATTTCACCACTCTCAACTTAACAGGCATCTCCCTCAATATGAGAGGTGCTATTCTATCCCTCATCCTTAAATGTACCCCCTTGTCTTCAGGTATGCTAGCAATTTCCCTTCAAACAAGAATCCTGTTTCCTTGCACCTTGCCAAGACTACACACACACGTTCATATCTATTCAGAAGGGGGGATTGAATAAGGAGAGGGGGAGAATTGCACTCATTCTTCTCCCAGCTTTCACATTTTCACATTCCTGTCTTTCATTAAAGCTGAGCACAGGTGCAATCTATGGCTACTGTCCTAAGAGGCGTTTTTTAAAATTATAGTTCTACTACCCTCCAAGACATTTGATAAGATTGGGTTCTTATGTAGTAGAAGATGAAAGCTGCAGTTACCTGGTCTGGGTTGTGCTCAAGAGGGCAGTTGTCGCAATGGTCTCCCACTCCATCCCCGTCAGTGTCTCTCTGGTCCACATTGTAGACATAAGGGCAGTTGTCCCTCTCATTTAGAATGCCTGCGAAGTGAATACACACTTATATCAGTCTATGACACCTTTTAAGGCCTGATAATGACTGACAGCACTGAGAGACTTCATTGTCTGATGTTGGAGGAGTGATGATCTCTTACCATCACCGTCGATGTCAATAGCACAGGCATCCCCCTCTCCGTTGTTGTCTGTGTCGACTTGGTCAGGGTTGCTCTCATGCACACAGTTATCACATCGATCACCAACGTCATCTCTGTCCACATCATACTGAGCGGGGTTGTAGACCATTGGGCAGTTGTCCTAATAATTTACAAAAAATGAACACCATTACTACATTGTTCATATGCTACTGGCTTTCTCCCTGACTCCTACACTTTCTCTAGCCCAGAGGAGAAAGGCCTACTGATTGCTGTGTTTGGTTTCTTTGTGGATAACCAAGTCCTGGGAGAGAGGATGTTTTGATCTCTCACCCTATCATCAGGGATCCCATCGTTGTCATCATCGTGATCACAAGCGTCACCAAGCCCATCTTTGTCGTGGTCCTCCTGTCCAGAGTTGGGAAGGTTTGGACAGTTGTCCTACAACAACAAAAGGGTTGGTTAGAGAGCCATTACCACAATAACACAGTGGAGATGCTAGGAATAGACTTTGTGCAGTGCTGGGGGTGGGATCCCTCCTACCTTCTTGCAGTGGTAGGTGGCGTTCTCCACACACAGTAGGTCTTTGTTGGGCCATCCATCCAGGTCAGTGTCATCTCCACAGATGTGGCCATTGCCAGCGTAACCAGGTTTGCACTCACAACGGAACATGGTGTCGCTGAACTGACCCAGGTAGATACAGTTGGCATTCTTGTTGCAATCATGGCTGCCGTCTTGGCATGGGTTACGGGGTGTGCACACCTAGGGGGAAGGGAGAGATACGTACTGTAGGGTTAAGATGTGCTTCTGACCTCCTAGTATCAGAATAAACAGAAATCCTCACATTTGTGTATTTTGTTGCAGTAGTCAGAGTTTGTCTTACCTGTTTCTTGGCTGTGGCCTGCTCCACTCCTCTCCCGAAGGGCTGTTGTCCTGAGTAGCGAGGGGGGCAGGCAAGGCAGTTGTAACCAGGCTCAGTGTTCTCACAGCGGTGGACTCCGTTGAGTGTGAAGCACGCGTCAGGTACCTCCTTGCACTCGTCGATGTCCTTGCAGTTGATGCCATCTCCGGTGTAGCCCACTGGGCATGCGTCACACTTCCAGGAACCATCGTGAAAGCTGGTACACTTAGTGCCAGCAAAGCAGGGGTTGGACAGACAGCCATCTGTAGACAGAAGCATATTGATTTTAAAATAGTGAACAATAATGGATTTGTACACTTTAGGTAAAAATAACAAATGCCATAATCTATTAATAAAATTCGTACCAATAGGGCAGTCCTCTTTGCCACACAGTTGGGATGTTTTGGCGTCACCCTGACATTCCTTCCCTCCGTATATGGGGGTGGGGTTGTTACAAAGACGCTGGCGAGTCTGGAGTCCACCTCCACAGGTGACAGAGCAGGTGTCCCATAAAGACCAGGGTCCCCAGACTCCGTCAACTAAAGTACAGAGAGAGAGATAGATGAGTTACACCTGTATCTCCAGACAGATGGATAGATAGGTACAAGTGTTTAGATGCTGCTCTTCTACTTACTTGGACAAGGGGATTTCTGACAGACCTCGGTCTCTCTGCCCTGTCCTTGGCAGTCTCTGCCTCCCATCTGGGGAGTTGGGGAGTTACAAAGGCGGATGCGGGTGATGACTCCTTCACCACAGGTCACAGAGCAGGAGGACCAGGGAGACCAGTGGCTCCAGCCACCATCCTGTTTGACTGTAAAGGACAGACACATAATTATTAGTTCATGTGCTATTACAGTACACATGAGATGGATGGTACTGAGAGAGACTGTTGAGTAGAAATGGTAGGTTTACTCACAGCGCTTGTCACATTCCTGAGGGTAGCAGTCGCGGGTCTGCACAGAGGTGCCCTCGCAGTTGCTGTTGATGCGGTCGCATGAGCGACCTCGCTGCTGGATGCCCCGTCCACATGACACAGAACAATGAGTCCATTCAGACCAGGGGGACCAGCCATCCTCAGCATAGTCACTCGCTAGGGGGGGAGAGACAATGGGAGAGCTATTAACATTGCAGTGCTCAGCCAGGAGGGGGCAAAGGATTTTCAAAGAACAGGTTCTATTTAAATCAATTTAGCCCAGGAGATTTGAGACCTGGCAATCTAAGGTGTACTCAGGGAATGTGAAGGACTGACAAATGTTAAATGGAAGACTTTTGGCAAATTAAAATACACCTGATAGGCAGGTTGTCAGAAAACTTCAAATCCACCTTACAAAAAAGTACTACAATATTGCTACAGGCTTGGTTTCAAGAGTAGAAGAGTACTTACGGGTTCCACAACGTGGGCAGCACTCTCCATCGGGCACGGTGGCATTGGCACAGGGCATCAGGGGGCAAGAGATTTTGCGACACACAGTTGCAGAGTTCTGTAGAGAGGATTGCTGGGATTAGTAAATAGTTTGTCTCCAGAGCAGGCTGTCCGGCTACAGCAAGGACGGCCGGGAAAATAATCTGGATCATTAACTTTGCATTGCACAAAGGTGGCTGCTGCTTTGCCAGGACTAATTTCTATGTTTGGGGACATTGGGATGATCTTTGTCTGCGGTAGGGGGATCCCCGATGTGCTACCATCCTAGTTCTGTGCACCTGCTCTGGAGTCGGGACAAGCAATGTGCTGGGCGTCTGGAGGGAAGGACGGTGACAGTGGGAAAGGCAGAACAGAGGGTCTCTACAGATGTCCTAATTAAAGACACATTCTTGATACCTAGCCAAATAGATAACTACAATAACACCCTTAGTGAGAGAGAAAGTGAGAGAGAGAGGGGTTTGACAGGGCAGAACCCCCCTACTGCTATTCTCTCGAACATCTCATTAGAGGTGAGGTGATGGCTAGCAGACAGACACTGCATGGTCACAAGAGCCTAAACACAAGAGCCTATTAACACCTCATTACGGGGTTTAGGAGCTACTGCCTGGTTTTCATACAGTTTACTACTGGCTGGGTTACTGAATAACTGTATTCCACCAAGTGTGATGACACCTACCTGGCAGGTACACTCTGTGCAGCCGTCCATGGTCCACTCGTCTGTGTCCTTGTGAACGATACCGTTGTGAAGACAGACCCTACTATGAATGTTCATCTGGTTCATGAGCAGATTGCTCTCCTTATTCTGCAAACAGAGGAGGGGAGGGAGAGAGAGGGACATGTGTTTAGACAATAGGATGGGAACTTTTACATAGCCAAGGTTCCAGTAGAAATAAAATACCAACCAACATTGTGATTAACACATAGCTTGATTTAATTAAAGAAAATACAAATTCAATGACAGCCAAACATATTTGTGTATTCATATGGCAGTCATTATGATCTGGCAGGGTGTGCCATTCCAGGGGCAAGTGGCTGTGCAGTGGAAAGGTTTTAACTGGGAACAGATAGATTAGAGAGGGAGGGAGGATGACAGTGCACAGACCCAGCTGCTTTCTGTGCTTACCACTCTGTTAAGCTCGTTTGACAGCTGCTTAACAACCACACCGAGTCCCTTGAGCTCATTGAACATGCTGGCAATATCCTCACAGGAATAACCGCAGACCTGCTGAATATCTAAAGAGGAGAAAAGCAATCAGTTAGTCACCTCCCTCCTTTACATTAACAGTTGTTACAGACCAGTAGGAGCAACTGATCTTGTCTCTGCAGAGTGAAGTCTGGTCTCACCTTTGGTTTTGTGGCCGGTGTAATCAGTCCTTATTGCTGGGCTAGTCCCATTGACTGGGTTGTCCAGGGTCATGACATCAGTCAACGTTGCAGCTGGAGGAGGACAGACACAGTAATTTCCATGAACAGCATAATAACATCCACCTGAAGAGACTTTAATGGCCATATAGAATTACAGTACTAGTCATTTTATTTGGTAATGAAATGCATTTAGATTTTTACAACTAACAAGCAATGAATAACATCAACTTATACAGTAATTCAAACATTTAAATGCAAAAATAACATTTATAATTTTGTAATTCACACTTACAGCTTTGGCATCCCTTATTGCGCATGATTGCCTCCAAAGTGGTTCCAAAAACGAAGCGCACGTTCTGAAGCACTCCCTGCACACATACACATCCATTTAGAGCTATTCCATATTCACACGTTTGCATCTTTCCAATACATTTCCTTAGGGATCATACTATTTTCATTTTTATGTAAAATATTATTACATCTCTGTGGACGCCAAACGCTGCGCTGTGCGCGACCCACGAGGTTGGGGCTACTCAGACTAGGCTATAAACTTCAGAAGTGTAACATTTATTTGTAAACATAATTACAACATTATTTGCTATGTATTTATGAACACATGAATCAAGTCATATTTACCATAAATCTGTCTTTCACAGCTCCTTTTCCGATTCTCAGACGGGCGATGTCAGCAACCTCATGCGTCAGGACCTTTTGGATGGGCACTTCCATTTCTGATATATTGATCTCTTCACACCCCACGAACAGCTGGGCACGATCCTCCTGAATGAACAGCGTGATATTCTTCCAATGTCCGGTCGCTAGATCTGCATCTTCTATGGACACTACCTGTTGCTTGTTCCCGGTAGAGTATACCACATCCAGAGTTTGCGCCTTGCCATTAGAAATTATTTCGAATATCGGTCCTGATCCGTCATTCTTCTCCACAGTCAAAAGACTGCCCCTGGTTTTCTTGAACTGCTTGAAGTTGACAAGCAGAAGGAATCCCCTCTCAGCTTGTACTGAATCAATGAGGTCCCTGAAGGAGATCTCGGGAACCGGGGGGATCAGGTCTGCGTTCAGGACCTTATAGGCTGGGCTGTATGGATCTGCGCCTTTTACCAAGGTAACTCCTTGGTGCCTCTTGTTCACTTTCACAAGCTCGAATAGGTCGTATACACTGTTATCATCTCCACTCTCTGTGAAGGGAGAAACTGTAGTGAGTCTCTCTTGGCAACTTCAAGTTCACAGATAAAAAACATTGCAGGAACTTTTAACAGAAGAATTCCATTGATGATTTTAAAAAGCTGATTGTCAAATATTTAATAATGTTTCCCCAAGTTTCCGAAAAACTCACCTGCCAACCTGCTGCCCTCACAATTCCAAAGCACCAAAAGGAGAAATACTCCTGTCAGTTTCATCTTGAAACCTCAGAAATCTGTTTCAACCAGAAGGTAGAAAAACAGTTAAATAGGTATTGTCATTTGCACGTCTCAAAATTACAGTCCCATTATAAAAACGTAATAAATATATTATAATAGGCTACATGTTATTTGAAGAAAACATCATTATTAGAATTTACCAACCTGAATAAAATAAAATAAATAAATCACAGATGGATAAGTTGAGGAAAGTCCTTGATTTTCACAGTTTCGACTCCCGTTATTTCTTCTTAAATTCTCCGAGTTTATTCCCTTTGTTGAATAATCTTAGAAATCTTATGTTCGCTGAAAACTCTCTTTCAAGTTCGTTCTGTCTTTATTCTGATGCTCAGACTATTCTACTAACACTGTGGACATAAGTGCTATTTCAATAGTTTCATGACATTCCTGAGAGAACATCTCCTCCAATCAGATCGCAGAAGGAAAAAGGGATGAACTTATCTTCTTACCTCATGACGCTGAGAGTAAAATCCGAGACGTAGGCTACTCATAGGGGAAAAAAAGCATTCCAGAGCCGAATTTCCATCACCGGATAAATATTTTATAGAGGACATGGGCCAACCAGTCGTTTCCTGTAAAAAGTACGTTATTTGCAAATATGCTTCCCTCTTTATTTTCATTGTCACTTTTTAATATAATTTCATATAAAATGGACACAAAATAGTCATGATTTACAGAATAAACCATGTAGATCACCTTAACATAAAAACATGAGGATGAAGTTGTTAGCGAATATGTTATTGAGGTAGTCATATATACATGGAAAAAGCTTACTTTAATATGATGTAGGCTAATGGCAAATGTATATATAAATTAATGTGAATATTTCAGCTTTTTGAGAGGATGCATAGGCCTAATGCTGATCTATTCCTCTTGCCATTCACAGTTCATCCACTGGGAGCCGTTGTGTGAGTTTACATCTTTGAGTTGGTCAGACTTTCCACTATCAAATGAAGACTGCTGTTCATGAATAGGCTAGAGAAGAGTGAAGAAATTATAAGTATAACTTCAGGAAACGTAGGCTATATTTAGGAATTTATTTGGTTATTTAGGATGTTATTCCGTTATTACACTTCAGCTGATACTGAAACCGTTCATGTTTATTAATCATGTATACATTTTGTATTAGAAATTATAACAAAAGTGAAATAAAAATCTTCATATGTATCTGATCATTTCTTCACTCCCTTGGGTTCTTTGCTAAACATGACATCACCAATCAGGTGAAAGGTAGAGCCATGCGTAGCCTATGAGTCATTCCTAAACTCTCTAAAGCCCCTTTCGGGAGCCCCCTACTATGTAATGACAGCTTCCCCCTTCCTGATTGAGACTTGTTCCACCCCTTCCTGATTGAAACTTGTTCCACCCCTTCCTGATTGAGACTTGTTCCACCCCTTCCTGATTGAGACTTGTTCCACATTTAACTTTTTCAGATTAAGCATTTTACCCCAAATCAATGTTAGCTAATTCTTGGAAAAGTACTTTCCCTCCAGATGTGGATGAGGAGCAGCAATGAGGAAGAGACAGTGACAGTGATGGAAATACTCTGGACAAACAGCAGAAGACTCACCTCACCGCCTACGCATCATGACTTACACCCTAAAATAGAGGGGGTCCTATAAATACATGAGATAGATGGACCCCTGAGGCTGATTGTGTGCAGGCAACATCTGGACACCTGAACCACCGCCAGCAGCATATACACACCATTGGAATGTGAAAGACGTATGACTGGGAATATTTACGACAGCTATTGACCTGTAGTAGGCTATTCACATCAGTGTTCCAGCAGTTTGGGGAATCAGGAAATGATAATGCAATAGTGCTCAAGGGTCAAATAAATATATGCTCTGATGGAAAATGTCCTTGAGGGTGTAGTGGATGGATTGGAATAGAGTGTCATATTTCAGAGACAAGTTGGGAGCATGCAGAGAACACATGCAGGTGTGACCAGGCGTGTCAGATGGGGTATGGTTGTGACCTCAGCATGGGAGGCGGGGTTAGCGTTTGTGTGTCTGGGGGGGGGGGGGGGGGGGGGGGACATGTCAGTTCCTGATGAATACCCATCTAACCACCCAGCGAGCCAAGTTCAGACTGCAGCGGAAACAGACCATAGATAGCAGTGTTTACTCTCTCTCATGCACACACACACACACACACACACACACACACACACACACACACACACACACACACGTAGTAGAGACGTATGATTTTCAGGGTAGAAGGTAGAGAGTTTGTGTGTTTAGTCTTAAGAATTTCTACTCAGTGTCTCACCCTACAACCATCTGTCTTATTCCTAAGTATCTAAATAAAGGAAACAATGACCAATGACATCACTCATTAATCCTGTCTATTGCTGTGAATACCTTCCCATCCTGGACCGTAATGTCTTACCAGTAACTCTGTAGCTAGATATAGCAATAGACATATGTTGAGTACTTAAACATTAAAGATCTATGCTCTGTCTACAAATATCTTGTTGCGTTGAAAACTTTGCTGGCTTAGCAATGATGACAGTGTCTCTAGGTACTGACCAGACTGCAGGCTGATTGATTATTACCTTGAAACATCTGGGTCAGAGGAGCTGGACAAGACTGCTTCGTGAATTGCCTGAAGGAAATGCAGAATCCAAAATCAACAAGTGCATCTCTGAAGTGGAGGTCAATAGAGTACGATTGATTCAGTAAGATGCCATGACTGGGGTCTGCTGTGGCCACAGTAGATACAGGTACATAATGTTTTCTGACTGACATGGTTCGGAAGACAATTGCTGTATGGTTTTAACTTTATTTGACTCTCAGAAATGCAATTGTGTGAGCAAAATCATTTTGATGAGTTGTGGGGGGAATGGTTCACTATTATCTGTCATTATGACACATCAGTTTGAAAATCGATGTCTAGCAGATGTATCAGAGATTCTGAACAAGACATTACATGTTAGTGGATCACATGGATTTGTGTTTCACTCTTAACCATCCATATGCTGACACCATACAGATGAGTGATGAGAATTTCCTGCAGCTCCAGGGCACCCATCCCTGTGACAGATCAATGGCAGTTTATGTGTTTTATTGGACTGTGCGTGATCCAGCAGGATAGCGTAAGCATACTTTCAGATGAGGAACCTCATCCATGTGCCCTAAGGCCTGGAATCTACAACCACTCATGATGAGTCAGTTAGTGCACATTAGCACTCACCACCACCAGCCTGGACGATTTTCCACTCCATGCCCTGCAGCCATGCTTTTTACTGCAGCAACCATGAGAAGTCCTTACGGAAAGGAGTGAGCCGTGAAGGAGTGGGTGTATTTGCAACTGTGTTTTGGCTCAGGACTGAATGCTTCTGTCACACCCTGATCTGTTTCACCTGTCTTTGTGCTTGTCCCCACCCCCCACCAGGTGTCTCCCATCTCCCCTCATTATCCCCTGTGTTTTTATACCTGTGTTTTCTGTTTGTCTGTTTCCAGTTCGTCGTGTCCTGTCAAGTCCTACCAGCGTGTTCCTGTGTTTCCTGTGCTCTAGTTTGTTTTTCTTATTATTCCCAGTTCTGACCTTTCTGCCTGTCCTGATCCTGCCCGCCATCCTGTACCTGCCTGACTCTGATTTGGATTACGACCCTTTGCCTGTCCTGACCTACCGATTGCCTGCCATCCTGTACCTCCCTGACTCTGATTTGGATTACGACCCTTTGCCTGTCTTGACCTACCGATTGCCTGCCATCCTGTACCTCCCTGACTCTGATTTGGATTACGACCCTTTGCCTGTCTTGACCTACCGATTGCCTGCCATCCTGTACCTCCCTGACTCTGATTTGGATTACGACCCTTTGCCTGCCTTGACTTACCTTTTGCCTGCCCCTTGAACTATAATAAACTCTGAGACTCGTACTATCTGTCTCCTGTGTCTGCATCTGGGTCTTAGCCTGAGCCGAGATAGTACAAACTGGCCCTGACTGACCCAGCAGACTCAGACCAGCTCCACAACACTGTCTCCCAGCAAGGAGCCACCATTGGAAGACACGAGGAGTTACTGCAATTCCTTATGGAGGGACTCCATACCCTGGCGGAACGCCATGACCATGAGTTCGATACATTGCTGGAGCAATTCTGCGGATTCCCTACTAGGCAGCAAGCCACACCAGTAATTCCCCAGACTCTCAGCAACTCCACCACCAGTAGCACTTCTTCCCAGCATACCCCGGTGACCCGAGAACCTCGCTTACCTCCTACGGAGCACTACGCTGAAGATTCTGGAACATGCCGGGCCTTTCTCTCCCAGTGCTACCTCATAACGCTGATGTCCGGGAGGGCACTCGCCTGGGCTACGGCGGTGTGGGAGCAACAGTCCGCCGTTTGCCTCAGTCTGGAGGAGTTTGTGGCGGAGATACATAAGATGTTAGATTCTCTGTTGTCCGGGAGAGAGGCTGCTCGTAAAATGCTCCAGCTACATCAAGACTCCCGTAGTGTGGCAGACTACGCAGTGGATTTTCGCACGTTGGTGGCTGAGAGTGCCTGGAACCCGGAAGCATTGTTCGACATGTTCCTTCACGGATTATCAGAGGTGATTAAAGATGAGCTCGCAGCCCGGGAGCTGCCCATGGACCTCGACTCCCTCATAGCCTTGACCATCCGGATCGATGGGCGGCTGCTGGAACGTGGGAGAGGGAATCTGTTCCTCGATTCCCACCTCGCCTCCAAGGAATCCCGGAAATCCCCGAAGTCTACATTTCCGAGTTCTCTTGGGAATCACCTAGGGCTGCCGACTCGCCTCCTCCGGAGCCCATGCAACTGGGAAGGGCTAGATTGTCTCCTGCTGAGCGCTTACGCAGACTAAACACCAAGAGCTTTCTGTAATGTGCAGCTACGGGACATTTCTTATCTACCTGCCCATTAAAAGGAACAAGCTCATCAGTAGGTTTGAATACACTGGTGAGTCATACGGGGAGTTTCCAATCCTTTACTTCTCGTAACCCCCTCTTTGCTACCCTGTTATGGGGAGACCAGTCTAAATCCATCCGGGTGCTCATTGACTCTGGGGCCGACGAGAGCTTTATGGACACTACCCTGCTGTCGGAGCTGGGCATCTCCACTCAACTCAAAGTGCTGGATGGGTGCTCTATTGGCAGAGTCAACCACAGTACGGTTCCTATCCACCTGCGAGTATCAGGTAACCACAGTGAATCCATGCAGTTTCTGCTCCTGGATTCTCCTCATGTACCCATGGTTTTGGGGTTTTCATGGCTCCAGAGGCACAATCCCCTTATCGACTGGGCTACGGGGTCCATCATGGGTTGGAGCCCATTTTGCCACGGTCATTGTCTGAAGTCG